TTAGAGCAGGAATAGCAAGAGAAATCCAATCTCCGGCTCTTGTGTCCAAAATCAAACAGAGATTTTAAAAAATAAAGGTCCTGTTTGATGCCTGATGTTTCCAGTTGCTTTGTGTTGTGATGATCTTCCTCCCCTTCCCACCTCCCTTTCTTGTGCTGCAGGTAGCAAATGATAAAATCATTGCTACCAATATGGTGACCGGCTTGCCCAAGCAGACACCTGGCAGTAATGGGGACATAATCGTCCGCACCAGCAAGCTGCTGATCCCTGTGACCTGTGAGTTCCCCCGTCAGTACACCATCTCTGAGGGCTACGTCACCAACCTGAAGAACTCCCCTCTGGAAATCATGAGCCGCAACCGGGGCGTCTTCCCCTTTACCCTCGAGATCTTCAAAGACAAAGAGTTTGACGAGCCCTACAGGGATTCTCTTCCCACCCTCAAGCTTCGTGACTCGCTGTATTTTGGGATCGAGCCCATGGTGCACGTGAGTGGGCTAGAGACACTGGTGGAGAGCTGCTTCGCCACCCCCACCTCAAAAATTGATGAGATCCTGAAGTACTACTTAATTCAAGACGGGCAAGTATCACAGTTCTACTTCCCTTGTTTGTCTGATATTTAACCCCAATACCATTTGCCATCTGGGTCACAGGGCACATAGAGGAAACAGAAAACACCATCACTCCTCCACAGACAGGAAAAATCTAGAATACTGGTCAGGACATGTTCAGAGTAATTGCCAACAGCCATTGCTACCAATGCAAAACCACCCACATAGTAAAAAGTCTGGAGCAACCAAAGGGAAGGCAGCATAAGTGACTGTTGTATATTGTTGTTGTGTATCTCTCTCTGTAACTTGGCTCCTGTAGAAAAGCCATGTGGCCCTCTTTGTGTGCCAGCTGGTGACCAAACACTAAAGCTTACTTAACCAATGAGTTGAATCCCTCTACTGTGGCTGGATTTATTCTGTGTGCAGCTAAGCCTGTGGAACCAAATCTCTTTATATTCCGTTAGCAGTCATTTTTACCCTATGAGCCAAAAGTTCTGCCATGACTGGAGCTTCTAGGAGCTTTGCTGAGCTCATTTCACATCTTACACCTGCCATCTAATGGTCTGTCTGGCTATCACTATAGACACAGTGGCCTACAGGTCACTTAATTATGGGAGCAATTTTCTGGCAATTGCCAGTGGGCCAAGTCCTCAGGGGAATGTTAATAAAAAGCTTAGAGCAGACCTTCGAGGTCTGTAAAGGGACATCTAATAATGATTGTGGCACAACAGGTTCCAGGTAGGTTTGCTGAGTGTTCTGATGTTTTATAAGATGGTCCCAGCTTTGACAGGATTGTCACATATCCTGACACGTTTAGAATCATTTTAGTGTTAACATGATGTTGTCTCAGGATGTTTGCATCGTGGTGTTGCCAGTCAGAATGGCATTGCAACATCATAATGCAATTTTCACAGTATTGTGAAGGTTGTGTGCTATGACTCAGGGGACAAAGTCCAGTAAAAGTAATATTCAGGATGCACGCATTCAGCCACTAGTTCAGGGACTCTGGTAATTAGTTAAGTCTAATTTAGTGTCTGCCCATCAGCCTGCAAAGATAACAATGATTTATGCAATAACCTGGCTGCCAAAGAAATAAGTCATCCACCATGACAGTTAATGAGGCAAAAGTTTCATAGGCTGCTGTTTTAAAAGTAGTAGGGAGGATTTGGGTTGGGTATTTTTTTGTTTTGTTTTTGTGTTTTACTTCAATCTGTCTAACTTTAATGAGTTATTACTGCAGCAGTGTGTAGTGCTTCTCTCTCAGTAACCAATGGTAAGCTGCACGTTGGCTCTTGTACTCTGTACTTGATGCATCAGTTGCACTTAAGTCATTTATACACTTCTGCTTCTGTGCTTTATGCACCAAATCATAATGGAATAACTTGTTTATCAGATCTCCTAGCAAAGACTTTGGGCATTTGTATTCTTGGGGCTCCAAACATCCATTAATCACCAACACTTGAGAACATTACTGAAAATGGTCAGTATTGGAAAAAGGAGGAACATGAACTGAATGGGGAGAAAGGAGAATTGAATGGTGAGGTCTCAAATCCATTACAGCAGCAGATTTGCACTTGACTATGATGGCTCCAGGGGGTTCCTCCTGTAAGCAGTCACTGGCATTTTCTCCTCATAGGAAGGAGGTACCAGCAACTCCTCTGCTATGTTTATACTCTACAGGACAGCAAAACTTTACAGAAAAGATATGAGATGAAGTGTGGTGGAACAGACACCATTCTGACTTCAGTCTGTATAGTCCTGTCAAGATTACTATTACCTAGCAAATTACTCTGCATGGGCACACTACATACTGTTCTAGCTGCTTTTGCATCAATTAAAAAGTAAAATCCATAGACTATACCAGTGATTGAGCATTTTTTAGCATGGGCTATTCTTGCTCCAAATAGTACTCAATCCAACATCCCTTAATCTACCCATACAGAAAATCCCAAGGATAAAAGACAAGCCTTTTAATTAGTTTAGCTAACTAACCACCATCAGGTCTGCAAGGCAACTGTGGCATAGAAATTCTTAAATAAAATACAGTATAAGGACTTGAAATATTTTTAGGGAGTATCCTTCCCTTACTTATTTTCTACCACCCCAAATCCCCCAGCTGACAAGTGCTGAATGTACCTTACTTTGGAGCCCACCACCTCACTTCTGAAAGGGGCTGTCTCCCTTCAGAGGCCGAGTGCAACCTGACTGAATCCTGGGGGATTAACTCAGACTCATGGGTGTTGGAACTAGGAGTTCTGGGGGTGCTGCCGTACCCCCTGGCTTGACGTGGTTTCCATCATATACGAGGTTTATAGTTTGGTTCAATGGCTTTCAGCATCCCCACTATAGAAATTGTTCCAGCACCCCTGCTCAGACCCCTTGTGTGTTGCAGTACAACACGCTGTCACTAGACCAGCAGGGCAGCCCTAAACTTATATTTAAAGTATGGTTTTAGTATCCTTATTGTATGTGCCTCTAAAAAAGCAACAAGCTGGTAGTAGAGAAAATAAATAGTATAGCTCTCCAGTGCATATACCCAAGACCATGTGGTTTAAGGTGGGTCCGTTATAATCAAATCATAGTCCAGGACTTTTAAGAGGGACTTGATTTAACCCAGCTCAAATATTTTAAGACGGTTCCAGTATAAATCCGTTAATATCACTCTTTAAAGGTGGCCCTTTCATTATTATCATATAAAGAAAAACCCTTTAAATTGGCTCCTGCATAGTCAATTAGGAGCTATGCGTTTAAAAGCCACCTTATAATAAACAATCCAATAGCATCTGATGTTTGTCCATGGTAGGGTGACCAGATGCCTTGGTTTTATAGGGACAGTCCCGATTTTTGGTCTTTTTCTTATATAGGCTCCTATTACCCCCCACCCCATGTCCTGATTTTTCACACTTGCTGTCTGGTCACCCTAGTCCATGGGGACATCTGAATATTGCAGTTCTAGGAGTGGGCAGTTCAGATGGGCAGTTCTAGGAGTTCTAAACTCATATTGTAAACCAGACACTTAGACCATTTTTTGAGAAAGGCCTGAAATAAAACAAGTGATGAACTAAATAACACTGATTTTTATTAATTTTTATTTACCTCTTTTCTTCAACCCCTCCTCAGTCAGACAAACTGATCATTCCAACAGTTATATAGTGCAATGCATGCTATTGAATCCAGTTTATGCAGAACTCTACTAGAGATAGCAACATCCTGCAGGCTGAGGAACCTAACTGGCTGAATATCCCAAAAAATTTTAAATGAAAATGTCTGCATAAACAGAGTTAATTATTTTTCTTTTTCGTAAATGAACACACTATACTGTGTAATCATTTTCAACAATTCATCAAATATTTCTACTGCGGCTGTCTGTTAAAAGTAAGGCTATAGTATTTCAAGTTTTGTTCCTCTACCCTCCACCATTTCCATCACAACCCCTTTTATAGCATGCAAAATCCACATTCCTGAGATTAGTTTGTGGAAGAGGACATGCTGTGTTGTAATGCAGTACAACAGCAGAGTAGAATTTGTGCCTTTTTAAATTGGCAGGGCATTGTAATAATCAACAAGAACTTCTATTAAATAAAAACCATTACATTTTTCTTTTTGTTAGTTCTATATCTAGCTCTAAACTGTTATATAGTTCAGGCTCCAAAGTTAAGTTCTGTAAAAACAATTAACCGTTCTCCTGTAGTGTTCATAGAAATATAGGGCTGGAAGGGACCTCGAGAGGTCTTCTAGTCCAGCCCCCAGGCCTGAGGCAGGACCAAGTATGCCTACACTGTCCCTGAGCAGTTTTTGTCTAACCTGTTCTTAAAAGCCTCCCATCACAGGGGTGGTATTCCACAACCTCCCTGGGAAGCCTATTCCAGTACTTAACTATCCTTATAGTTAGAAAGGTTTTCCTAATATCTAACCTCAATCCCCCTTGCAACAGATTCAGCTTATTACTTCTTGTCCTGCCTTCAGTGGACTTGGAGAACAATTGATTACCATTCTCTTTGTAACAGCCCTTAGCATATTTGAATACTGTTATCAGGTCCCCTTTCTGTCTTCCTGTGAACCCTAATACAAACATATTGTCCTAGCGCATGAGATGCTGAATGTGAAATTGGCTAGACATGGAGAAGTTGATCAGTGTAGTTTCACAGGCTAAGCTGAAGAAATGCAAAAAGTAAACAAAAGCATAAATGGTGAAAAGTACATTAGATTTGAAAAATGCTTTGTTTTTAATGATCTAAGAAATTTTAGTAACACACATAAGGACATTTTCTTTTAAAGTAAATGATTTTGATCTTCTCGGTGTCCCTTTTAATTATGACATTATATTTTTTTAAATAATTCAGCAAATATCTGAATCTGTACATCTCTATTGATCGCTGCAGACTCTGGTGCCCAGAAAGGTGAACTGAGGATAAACTTGATTGCAATTCTCTGGCAGATGTTCTGGTTGTGGGTGTGTGCAGCATTATTAGTTGTGTGCATTCTGCCAGTTCCCTTTGCTGCAGAGCTGTGCTGGAGATGCTATCAGTCACCACTGTTGTTTTTCCTCTTCATTCTTGAACGTTCTGCGGTGGCCAAAGACAAAGTAATATGGATGGTAACTAGGTGACTAAATAGGTTGGGATACTTTTTTTTTCCACCTCTGTGAAAGCTATTAAAGCTTCTCCCTCTGCTTTCTTCAGCTGTGTTTCTGATGACTCCGTGAAACAATACACGTCAAAGGATCATCTTGCTAAGCACTTCCAGGTCCCTGTGTTCAAGTTTGTGGGTAAAGACAACAAGGTGAGCTCAAAACAAAATTACTTCTCAGGCAGACATTAAACCAGCCCTTAACTGGCTTGGGAGACTGTCCATGGGGGGGGCGACTAGTGGGAGGGACACAAAGGGGGCACCAGCTAAACGGGGGCACGTCCCCGCCCCCTCACATGACTCCTCCCCACCCCGCTCCCCAGGTGACCCCCCCACACGTGACTCATCCCCACCCCCGGCCCAGGGGCTCTGCGTTCTCCCCGTCCTCTCCCGATCCCACGTTTCCTGGTGGGTGGAGGGAGTCTGCTCCAGCCCTCCTAGCATGTGTGGAGCCATGCACTAATGCACTCTCCCAGGCAGCCTCTGCCACGCTGCTTGCCTGGGATGCTGCCTGGTGCAGCATGCAGCAGCCGCACTCTTCCAGGCAGCCTCCGGCCACGCTGCCTGCCTGGGACGCTGCCCGGTGCGGCACGCAGCAGCTGCACTCTTCCAGGCAGCCTCCGGCCATGCTGCCTGCCTGGCAAGCAGCATGGCCAGAGGCTGTCTGTGAGAGCGCAACCACTGCATGCCACACCAGGCAGCATGGCCGGAAGAGGAGAGGCTCTGGCCCTGCACCTTTATCTCCCTGGCTGCCAGCCTTGCCCCAGCCCGGCGTTTTGAGGAGGGTCATGTGACCCTTTGCCCCACCACCACAGGTCGCCATTGCATGGGCTGATTCTTTGTGCATGTAGTATTACAGTAGTAGTAGAGAATCAGGGATAGGAATTGCCATACCATAACAGATTGATGGTCTGCCTAATCTAGTATGTTGTTTCCTTTAAGAGCCTAGAAGATCAAGTGCTTTTAGACGAAAGTGGGGGGTCAGGGGAAGCCTTGACAGTGGTGCAATACCATGGCTCAATTTCTTCCTAACAGCAGAAAACACTTAGCTTAGGCCTGAAGCATGAAGATTCATAGCTCCTATAATTGTTGTCCTACCTAGTGTAGTATAACTGCAGATTCTGTTCTATCTTATTCTTGTGTCTACACCTGTTTGAATTTCATTACGCTGTTCTTGGCAGTATCAGGTTCAAAATTCAACCTTACCTGCACGCACAAAAATGCAGGACGTCCTGCTCACTACTCAGAGGGACTCTACCATCCTCTCCTATCATCTGGGGCACAGGGAGCTGCCATTCTATCACTCCATCTTCCTCACTGTCTAGAAATGACAGCTGCTACTCACATCCTCCTTCCATGGTCCCCCACAGTCTCCTGTCCCCCTCACTCTACACTGACCTGTTTGCCTTCCGTATCCCCTCACAATCTTCTACTCCTCACATTTTCCCTCCCAGCTCATGCCACATTCCACTGCACTCTCTCCCTCTGCCTTATGCTCCCCCCAGTCCCCTGATTCCTCATAATTTCCTGTTCTGTTTCCTGACAAAGTCTCCCTTATTGCCCCTTCAGTTTCATTCCCAGCACCTCCACATTCTTTCCCCTGCCTGCCCCTTACATAGTGACTAAAGGGGCCACCGTCTTCTCTGAGCTCAGTTAGGCAACAGTCACAAGTAGGGCAGCCATTTTTGCTGGGAGCAGCCTCATTTTCTCCTCTAAAGGTTAAAGGGACATGGCAGTGAGGGCGGCCTGTGGCTTCAGTCCCTTTAATAAAGGGAGATGGTGTCCATCTTGGATAAGGACAATATTTTGCAAGTTTGGGATGGATGGGAATATTGTGAGAGCTGGCAGCACTGCTTAAGTGAAAGCCAGCACCATGGTTCTTCACACTGCCATCTCCCTGCCTTTTCACAATCCTGCAGGAAGTGTTCTTGCACTGCCGCATCCTTGTGTGTGGCGTGCTGGACGAGAGGTCTCGCTGTGCCCAGGGGTGTCGGAGACGAATGCGCAGGTCAGCTGGGATGGAGGAAGAGGAGGAGGAAACCAGTCACATGGCAAACCATATCCTGACAGGTGGCCCCATTAGAATCGACATGGATGAGTAGCACTCTCTCACCATCACAGTGTACTACCCAAGAACCTGCCCTCCCTCCCTACTGAGGTTTTGTCGCATGGGTTTTGATGATGCAAAAAAGGTGTTTGGTAAAGTCCTGCATGAGCCTATTATCTTGTTTCATAACAGCCTGACAGTTATTTACTTTTGTGAAGCTATATTAGACACAAGAGGCAGCCCCTCCATATGTAATCTGATCAGCTGTGTAATACAGTTGTGCCTGCATTCCTGTCAATTAAAGGGAGACATTTCAGTTATAGGCCCAAAATGTTACCTGCCTTCATTTTTCTGATCTCCGTTTACAAACTTCACAATGTTTAAACACATTTTGAACCATGTCGCTAATGCTTTATTTTCCAAGGACAATACAAACAGTGCCAGGAGCCCGACACACATACTGAACAACTCCTGTGATAAGGCTGTGTGTGCAGTGAGTAGGTGGAGAGTGTGACATCAAGGTTCTGAAGGGTGGTTATTAAAATACATATAAATATATATCTCAAATATGCAGACTCCTTGAAGCTGTGAAAGAACAGTAATATGCAGCTAAAGCTCAGAATTGTTGCAGGCAAATGTGCATATTTTAAAATAATGATTTCATAAAATTAGTTTTATATTTTCCTCTGACAATTACATACATTTTTTACAATATGTTTCTCTCTATTTAGTGTATCATTTCTTCATCTCTCTTCCCCCTAATCCTGTCCCACTGCCCCACTAATTTGGTGATATGTGGTGCATTTTGTAAGTGGTGTGACACCTTAATTGTAAAAAAATTAAAAATCTCAAAACTAATACGAACTGTGATGCTGTGATCTTCTGTGACTTGGATGTTCTAATGCATTAACCTAGAACGGGATAGAGGTGTTAATGAAATGCATAGTAAGAACAATTGATGGAAACACTCCATAGATAGTATTAAACATAGAGGATCAGGTTCAAAAGCCCCATCAGGCCTGGTTACTGCAGAAACTCTCAGAAAGTTCTTAAAGACATTGTGAGGGTTAAGCACTATCTTGGCAGAGGAAGACTAGCAGGAGAGTTTGCTCCAGTGGATATTGAATATTGGATACTGATACCTGTCTGAGATTTATTTGGAGTACAAAGCACCAGCACAGAGGGAGGTAGAATGCCAAAGCCAGCCTGAACTAGTCCATGCGGCTCCATGCAGCCAAAGACTAGTGACTTTGGGTGAAGAGATTTCCTAGGTAAGAAGTACAATGCAGAGGCAGCAGTAAGGGTCAGCAAGTGTACAGAAAGTAGGGACAGAGCCCAAGAGTGAGAGAGGAGGGAGCTACTGGGCTTGACTTTGTATTCATGGGAAATGAATTCATGCAAATGAAATTCCTTTTGTGTAGTTCTGGCCAGCACGGTTCAAGGTAAACAAGACTTGTGTACATTTGTAAATAAATAAATTGCACTAGAAAATCCCCTGAGTCTGTATCACCAACTTTTCTTCCAATTGGAAACTGTCCAAAGTCCAAAATCTGTTACCACTTGCAAATGGGATTACAACTCATATCTGCAGTATTCAGTTTCAGAGCTTTATTTCCTCCAGCAACCAGACTCAGAATACAAATCAGAGTGTACCATTATTGATTTATTTGGTAGCTCTGATTTTTAAAAAAAGGCTTTTAGCCTGTCTTTATGAAGAGAGAGAGAGAGTCTGTGTTGGAAGAAGAGCAATAATGGAAAAATTGCTGGTAAAATAATATGAATAAGTGGAGACACTATTGTTTTGATGTCTTATCTAACCACTATGAAATAAAAAAATGGAAATGTAACATACTGTATTACCATGCAGCCATTGTGCAAATTTACCCTACACTGCTCAGCCATCCCCCCACAGAGTCCTGACCTGAATTGCTCACTGCTAGTCCAATTCTGAACTTCTGTTGTGCTCACTCACAACTGGGAGGGTTTTTGATGTCCAGGATTGGAGCTGAACTAACTCATTTTCACATATGTCATACAGTAAGAGAGTCTGAACCCAGATTTCCAGAAATAAAAGGCTAATTCATTAAATCACTGTACCAGTCAGCCCTACTATTATGATTTCAATGAACATACAGGGCAGGGATCGGCAACCTTTGGCACGCGGCCCACCCGGGTAAGCCCCCTGGCGGGGCGGGCCAGTTTGTTTACCTGCCGCGTCCACAGGTTCTGCCGATTGCCGTCCCAGGCCAATGGGGGCTGCGGGAAGCGGTACAGGCCGAGGGATGTACTGGCTGCCGCTTCCTGCGGCCCCCCCATTGGACTGGAGCGGCGAACCGCAGCCATTGGGAGCCGCGATCGGCCGAACCTGCGGACGTAGCAGGTAAACAAACTGGCCTGGCCCGCCAGGGGGCTTTCCTGATGCAGGGGATCGCATAGAAAGCTGTAACAGGCTGGCCTGCTCCTTTAAAGATCAGGAGGCCTGGAGCCAGTCAGCCCTGTTGAATTAGTCCTGCCCTGCTATACCTGTGTAGGATGTGGGACTTAAGTGGAGGAAAGCCCAGCTGTGAAGGGCTGTTTAGGGAGAAGAACAAAACAGTTCTATCCTGGGGTAAGAAGCTTGGCCAGAAACTGCCTGAGGAGTGTGGTGTCCAGAGCCCTTTGCAGGAGGATGGGCCTGGATTTTACTGGTGAGTGGCTCAGAGCCCAGGTGCCTGTTAGTGAGTGTTGAAACAGGCTGTGGCAACTGGGACTTTAAGGAAGGAGCTGGCTGCTGGGTGAAGATTCGTTTGTTTTGTGCTTTTGTTGTCCTTTCTCTAAAGCACTCTGTTACCCTGGGAGGGGTTGAACCCTCAAATGCTGTTTGTCTGGAGGCCCAAGTCATCGCCCTGGCCAGGGTGAGCTGAAGAGTGTGGTGGGGAAGCTGGGGCAGCATAGCTGCAGTGCCGCACTATACTGTGAGAAGGGTCCTCTGAGATGCTGAGTCTTGTACAGAAGCATTTTAACTGGAGGGAAGACACCACCTGGATCATTTGTAAACAAGAACTGTAAGTACTTCAACCCATATAAAAAGCTGGGAGGAGGCAGCTTGAGGGGAGCACAGGGTCTCTCCCTTCATGCATCAGTTGGGGGTGAGAGCAAAGATGATGCAAGTTTAGTATGTTGAACGGTAGTGAACATTGATTAATCTCAGTTCACCTCAATCTAAACAGCCAGAATGGCTGTATTTCAGTGACTCACCAGTGATCTCTGGCTAGGCTGTCAAACTCTAAGTTGCTTATTTCATGTAGCACGTGTGTCTACTCCAACATAGTCTTGTTTGGTTCTTTTCATAAGACATTTCAAAAGCTTCATCCAAAAATAATTAAGGTTTTTTCTTGTTGTTTTTTAAGTCAGTAAAAGGAAACTTTACACTAAAAAAATGCAGGCTCAACGGTCTTCCATCTATCAGCTGCAGCTTGTAAAGTGGTTTGGGGATGAAAAGTGCTATATAGATATAAAGGAAATATCACTTTTATTTGTGATCTCAAAGTACCAAAGCTTGGATGGAAAGGTTCAGTTCAAAACTCCTCATTTATCCATTTTGTCATGCTCTATCGTGTCATTACATGCTTGGGTCAGCTTTAATGTGTCACTGTAGAGATCTGCAATTTAAAGGTAGCCACTGAACATAGACAAGATATTTTTGCAAGTGATATTTAATTGTACATATAAACTCACCTTTAGACTTAACAATGGGTAGCAGTTCACCTTAAAAATATATAAAGCTCTTAGTGTCTGTTCCTCACACACGACCCCCCTGCCTCTCCCACCCCAAACAAACTAGGGCTGACAATCAGGTTCTTTCTGCAGGAAACATTCTGATGGACAACTACTGAGATGAACTTTGGCACTGGAATACTCACTGGCTTATCACCTGCTCAGAGGGACATCTAATTTTCACTGAGGAAATAAGAATGGCCCTTCCAAATGGGGTGGGGTGGGGGGAATCCCCACACAACTCAGTGTGTTCATTGTTTTATTACCTTAGTCTCATGTTTTCTAACAATAGCCTCCCATTGCTGCAGACCATATGGGTCAGATGTATAACACTTTCCAGTGTGCGGCCAATAAGCCTGGCAAAAACAGGTACAGTAGTTTAAATAATGTTCTGCTAAATGTATCAGTTTAAACATGTATGCCAGAAAGGATATAACTAAAACAGAATCTGTCAAAAAACAAACAGTGTTGTAACATCCACTTTGTGCAGTGTGTAAAAGTGAATGAAAGACAGGGAGAGTGTGAGTGTGTGTGTGTGTGTGTGTGTACATCCATCTATCTAGGCATGTGACAGATCCACACTTATCTTGTATGTTACACACATCTTGGTAGAAACTCCCTTTCAGCAGCAGCAACAAACCCCAACAACAAAATTCCCTGCAGGGAGGTAGTTTTTAAAGTCTATAAGAGAATCCTTTCTCAGATTTAGATCTTAGACATGTTTGAAAAAATAATCCCGCTGGGATTGTTCATCTCTTTAAGTTAGCCATGTCCCCATGAAACCAAGCCCTGCCTTACCAAACACAGCCTAAGCAGTACCAGTCTACAAATATGCCTTCGTATGCCTGAAAGTTTCCCAAAGTCCCATCAAATCCTCCTGCAACCCCCCTCCCGCCCCCGCCCCCTTAAAAGGACACTGCTGAAGGTGCTTACTGGAGACTAATGTAATTTTTCCCTTTGGTTTTAAATTATGAAGGAGGGAAATAAACAGGTACAGCTGAATGGAATTGTGGGGGGAGCTGATTCCTCTGCTGTGAAATTATGGGCAGAATCTTATATGTGTATCAGAATGTATAGTGTAGAGCTACTTGAGCCTGGATGATCTTTGTTCCAGTCTACCTTTGTGTGCACTCGTGTATCGGAACTACTCAAAATCCCTCTTGGCTAATATTTGGCCATGTCCCCAGCCATGAATCATTCTCTTAGCTAACAAAAGGTTATCTGAACAGTTTGGGGAGCCTCTAAATATTTCAGAGAAGTGGGGTAGTTTGCATGTGTGTAAATAATTGGGTCTGAACCAAAACCGCAAAAGGGGATGAATCCTTCCCCCTTTTTCCATTACCCCCCCCCAATATTGTGGCTCAGCCCATCTCCTGTGTTTGAATAATTTATTTAAAAGATGTAACTAGTGACTGGAACTTTGGCTAGTGGGAAAACTTGTTTTTCAGGGTGTATCAGTGATTCAGGGAGAGGAAGTTGTTATACACGTGTATATCTGCTGCAGAAACTACTTATTACTGTCTGCATTGCATTCTCTTTGCTCATCTTAATTGGTCTCAATAGAAAATTGGCATTAAAATAACCCACAGTGATACACCTGGAAAGAGATGGGGCTGTTAGACTGGATCTGAGGTGGGCAGTAGATGTCACTGCTTCTGACAGCACCCTCCACCCAAAGCTGTAACTGATGCATTATACACAGTGCAAAAATCTGCTCCTCCTACCCTATACTATCATAACTTCTCCAGTTCAGAGGGCTGATGGAAAATGGCTTGCTAAAGAGCTGCATCAGAGATGGAATGCATGAGGTCATCTCTGGCCAGAGGGCTGTGCTCTTCAAAGTTCCTCTTTTTCTTCCTCGTTACAAATGCAGGCACTTCTTTGGCTGTTCATGAAGGGTCGGCAGCCCAGAGTCCAGACAGTGTTAAACACTGTATCTGCTACAGATTCACAAGCTGTCAGGAGGGAAAAGAACAGGCATGTCAGCAGTGGTCTCACACTTTCATTGCTGGTTAAACTAGTGCCAGGACTGGCCTCAAACCAGTGTGGATTGTGTGGGGTACTGCAATGTCTTTTTGCCTTCGTGTACAGTTCTATTTCTC